TTAATCAACCTATCAGCTGTTCGTCCTGTTTTCTCCAAGACTACCGAGGTGACATGTGCGGCAGAGGGATCCGGCATATTCCTGAGCTTAGTCTAAAGTACAAATCTTCTGGCCGAATAAAAATGAGGAGCACACGAACAGCTGGAAACGTTGCTAGTTGGAGCGGACTGGCTTGTTGTCATACGTTGTTTCACGTAAACGCCACGCATAACAGAACTTCTTTACGTGAGGTAGTGGTAATCATGTCAGAGCCCTAGTTAGAAGTCTCAGATGTGTCCTGGTAGCCTTTGCGTCCAGAATCTTTTGCAGTGAGCTCTCTTCGGCCAGTTAGACTGCGGTGCAGATGATTTTTGCTCTGTGAAATGGCGTTCCTACTTGGTTTTGCTTGCACACGGTGGCAGCGTAATACTGTAAAGAGGTAAGACCTTCGCCTCGAGGTCGTTTATTAGAAAACACAGACTAAACAGTTACAAACTATTCAAGAGGAAAGTAATCGTCTCATATGCAAATAGTTTTACAAAACTGAACATTCTCAACGCGCACTTTTGAACTCATAAATATTCATTGACTATCGCGCAATTTCAAACGAACACTGCAAAGCAGTTTCACAAGTTCCGTAATAAAACTCAGCTTCTATCGAACGCAGGATGGAGCTTCGAGAAAACGACTTACTACTCGGAAGCCCCATCAGTAGTATCCGCTGTCACAATAGTAGAAACTAGTCTTGAAGGCATTCCAGTGCTATCTTGATGCCAGTGGCTCAAAAAAGAATGGGGATCATAATTTTGCATACCATTTTAGAAGATCGTACTTTGGATTATTTCTGGACTTTCCGGGACCGCAAATGTACGTTCAGCGTCAAAAAAGAGCATAACCAGCTGAAACCGTCAAGTCCAATCCAAGGTCACGGGACTAACTTGTTGTAAAGTTGTCTTATGAAAACACGGTTCTCACGGATTCCCTCAGTAATACGCGTTTCGGTTCCGTGAAACATCTAGAACTATGATACCTGAGAATGTCATGAAATTTACAGGTGACAGGATAATAATAGCGAGATATTTCGCGTCTACAGAATAACCAAAAGTCTTTCAAGAAATCTGGATAACCCTGCATATTCTCATTACTAAAGAAATGCACTAATTTAGCCATTCTGTTCTGGTCTGAGATTCTCGAGGAACGATGGAGAGTTCACAAGTTCATTAGTACACAGGAAAATCGATCCGGCTTTTAAAAGGTTATCGATTGCTAACGTGATTCCAAGTCACTACAAGTGATAGGATGAACAAATGGTGACTGACTTCAATGTGAATCGGGCTTTACAAGTTTCCTTTGGTCAGAACTATACAGCCTGAAATGAAGAATGAAGAGCAACCGGGACATAGCTATTTCAGGCATCCAGCATCCAGAGTAAGCATAACCGGCATTTGAGGCTTCGGGAGTGTCAACCACTAGTGGACTGTGATAAACAGCCCAGCACTAGTTCCAGCGTTTGGGAAAAAATAACCCAACTATGAATGAGATGAACTTGGCCGAACATGCGGTTTTTTGAAGTCATGATTGACAGTTTATAAAATAGTCTGATACACTACACTGGATGAGTTTCCCCACATTGGAGGGAAGTTTGAGGAGTGAGGGGGCTAAAGCAGCATAGCTGGATGACGGCGGGGTATTTCTGGCCCTTTTGGTGGCAAATGACGAAGTCCAGCTGAATCCTGTCTTGTACTTTACGCGACGCTCAGCAGGACCCACATGTGCGAAACTGGCGTGCCCTCCCCTGTAACAGAGATACAGAACGAAGGCACGTCCTCAAAACATTTCAGTTCGATTGAGGAGTAAATAAAAGGGTGTGAGAAGTATTGTAAAGCTGGAGGACGCGCTCATGACCCACCAGATTTTTATAGTATCCAGGAGTAAATCTAATACGATATGCAGAAAAACAGTAAAGTAAGGGGATTAATGGAGCTTATCCGATTTTAATAAGATTTAAATAAACGGCGTGAATAAATCAAAATGCCAGAAAGCATTACAGACGGAAAGCAATTAGCAGGTGCCAACCGGCGGTCGATAATTGCTACAAATTTCTCGACAGCTGTAGAGATTAGGGAGGAAACGTTTCCACTTAAATGAAGCGTCTGTTGGTATCTGATGTAAAGGCCAACTAGTGAGTTGGAACTAGTGTTTTTGTACATTTCACTTCCTACAGATGCTCCTACCAACGAAGACAAAGTGGAACCCTGACAAAACCTTCAAAATGGGTCCGAATGATTCCGCAATCAAACGTATACACTTGAAAAAAACAGAACATCTTGTGTTGTCAACGGAGTGACCGCAAGTGGCTTGGGATTGCGTACTTGGAGTATGTACTTGGGTCGGTACAAAACACGACCTTAGGTTCACATTTTTAAATACCCCATGGATTGCTTCACCGCCAGTGATCGACACGATGAGAATCCAACCCAAGTAGATTTGACATAATTGCACTAGACAACACACACTGAATATGGTGAAAAATTCTAGAATAATTATCAACTACTCACATGACTTAAGTAGTTGGGTAAACAAATAGAATTAATCAAGCATCAATATGGTCGAGATCTGGTCGTATTCGAGATGAAGTCCAGGCTTCTGCAACAACACACTTGTTTATCATACTGGCATGATAAAACCCTGACCACGTATAAACTCCGTTTGTAGCAGGTGGGGTGGATCAGATATCTCACCAGTTGTCATGGATGTTGTGCCCCGTAATCTGATACCTTCCAATGCTGAATAGCGGCTTTCGCCGCTTGCTGAGTGGCTGGTATGTTGTACACTAAAGCCGTTATACCAATGGCATACAACCAAAAGCGCGTGAGTTATTGGTAACTAAACAGAGGGATTTGTTAGTGGATACACCGCACGAATCCTCATTTGGCAAGCTTTCAACAAGAGATCATCATAGGCATCAAAAAGCTACCAAAATATCTACGGACTTGAGTGTATTTCTTGAAAACAGTCCAATTTGGGTTCAAGTAGATCATAAGGTTGACGGAAACTCGGGGACTGCGCCTAGCTGATGAGCCCCAAGAAGGGCAAAACCAGTCGTGGCCTGTCGAGGAGTTTTCAGCAACCTTGTGATTAGTTTCCCTAGAGTGACTTTCCTGAATGTCTCAACACCTACAACGTCTGTGCCCTACGCTACACAAACGTGCAATTTAGAGGGCTTTTAGATTTCACAAGTGAACACGCTGAATAAAGGGTAACTGATTGAAACACGTGTTCAATTCGTTCACTGTGTTGTTTTTAGTAGGCTCCGTTGTCCTTAACGGGAATGGTTAACTACCTGCGTCACTACAAAGAAGCAAACAACTTTCAGTTGCCAATCCCATTGAACGAATTGCGGCAACTCCTCTTTTGATGCACAGTGAACATGCAACTATTGTTCAGTGGTACGCCCAACCTTCGGCGTGGGTAAACACTGGGCCAACGTTTTCATAGTCGAACTTGAGAATGGTCCCTTGAAAGCCACTATAAAGAAGAGACAGTATTACAGGCGATACGTGGCGACATTTCCGCGGTTTTCAACAATCAAACCGAGATGGAACTGTGCCAGTAAGAGTTCAATAAAGAACACGTCGCCATCCAACTCACTTCGGAAGTTTAAATCGATAACTTCATCCACTTTCTGAATGTTGCCCTCGAACAACATCACGATAGTACACTGAAACGATCGACGAATCGGAAGGCTACTTCGTCCTTAAATGCATCAACTTTAATGACTTCATGTTGCTAAAGAAGAAACGGAATCCGATCTAAAGCCTAACTAACCAGGCAAAAAAGCCCTTGAACGGGAAATCCCAACTTTCACCAACGTTTTGAGAGGCAACAGGTTCACTGACAATTTTATTATGAAGTACTTGAACAGTGAAGAAGCCAATACCGTCACAGCCACAGTTGAAGGAAGCCTTCCGTTTAGGGTGATGTACCGGCCGGCTTACTGAACAGAAGACTTTACACAAATTTAGCGAAGGTTCTCCCCACCGTGTCACTCCCAAACTGGTTCATGGGCGATCAAAGATGGAGTGCCTGCTCACCCGCAAAAAATATGTTAGTATACTCATTCTGTTCATAGCCACACCACTCGCGTTTGAACGGCCGTGTTCCTGTTCTGGCGTAATTATTCCGGTGAGTCCACACCAAAGGGAAGCACTGGACTCGAGTTTCGCTCTCATTAGAGCTCATCAGCAGTGCATACCCCATGGCCGTGCTGGGATTTGAACCCCGGGTGAATCAATCGTCACAACTAGGACAGTCACTGGGCCCGCCCAGTATTCGCACAAGGGAACGGAACTTTTGAAGGCTACGACGTATCACTGATAGACTAGAGTATTCGGGCAAAAGATCTGAGAGTACCAGTCCAAACTTGTGAGCCC